AAGCCTTGACCGGCCGCACTCAGCTCTGCCCGCAGCCTTCTCTTCTCCAGGCTGAACACCCCCAACTCTCCCAGCCTGGCCTCAGAGCAGAGGGGCTCCAGCCCTCGGATCATTTTAGTAGCCCTCCTCTGGCCCCGCTCCAACAGGTCCATGTCCTCCTTGTGCTGAGGGCTCCCGAGCTGGACGCAGGGCTCCAGGGGAGGTCTCCCCAGAGCAGAGCAGACGGGCAGAATCCCCTCCCTTGATGCTGGCCACGCTTCTCTTGATGCAGCCCATACGACTCGCACTAGAGTTGGCCTGCAGTTAAAAGCAGTTTGTCACCCTCCAGGGCTGTCGGCTGGGTACTTTATGACACTCTGGCCCTGGCCCCATGCCTGCCTATTTGCTTCACCATGTTAGCTGGCCTCATTTTTCATTTTGGATCTTTCCTCCCTCTTTGCAAGAAAGGGGCAATCAGGATTTTCCGAGAAGCCTCTTTTGAAAAACCTCCACCGATCGTTGTGCTCAGGTAGCTGCTACCTGGCAGATAAATGCAGTTATCTGCAAAGATGGCAAATCCGCATGCCCTAAAATCAAGGGCAGTCAACGCGCTACTCCGGGATGAGGTAAATACCTGTTGTCATCTGGTGTAAACCTGCCTGAACCAGACACGGTTGGACTCCTCCTCTGCTGGCCTTCCTCTTCTTCTATCTCAATTCTTTCAAAAGGCAAAAAGAGAGACAAATATCACACAGTTTCCTATTCCCCACTGTTGGCTAATTCGGGCAGTTTATTCTTGTTTTCCCTGAAGCTGTGTTTTCCCTCTGTTTCCTCTAGAGGCAGATTCTTCCTGCTCCTCACGCTCCCCGTGCTCTGCTACTGGTGAGCATCTCCACTGGCCGAATGAAGCGAGATCTTCAGCCCAAATTAGCAGCATTTTGCTGCCACAGTCACTTTACAAATAGCATCAGCTGATACGCTTAAATTCCAGAGACCGCCCTAGGCATCACTCCCCTATCAGACCGACTGCTTTAGAAGTTAAATTCCTGAAGCCTGAGGAGCATTCACCCTGCTGGTTGGAACCAGCCTCCCCTGGAAGAGGAAAGGCAGTGAATGAGTCTCTCCTTGCTTCAGGTTGCCCAAAAGGCAAAGCATCGTCGGTACTGTATTCTCGGTGTTTACAACACTGTGGGCTCTCAAAAGCCAGCATGATTCTCAAAACCCAGAGCATCCTTTGGAAGGGACGTGTCCCTCCTCTGCCTTTAAACACCTGGGGATCTCCTACCCCAGCATTTAAGAGCAGCCCTGGTACAGTACACAGACGCCCGACCCCAGCACTAATTCCAGAGGGTCTGTGACTTACCTCTTGGCAAACAAGGGTGGAAATTCTTGTGTTGGGCTGCTGTTAAAGGAAGCATAAAGGCAACGGTGAGAAGTTTGGAGGTAAAGACACACCTTGGGCAGGGGCAGCTCCCACAGGGTCTCTGACCTAGAATTGGCCCAGATGGTGCAAGGCATTAAGGGGTCGTGTAACACCATTTGGGCAGTGACTGGGTGTGTTAAACCTGTACAAATTACAGAGCAGAGGAAATAAAAATAGGAAGAGCAGCTAGCCATAACATGTGAAGTAAAGAAGCTTCCCCAAAATGTCATTTTAATTTTATACCTTCCTGACAGCTGTTTTTCTTCCTGCATACCAACCTGCCTCCCTCCATACCATCCTCAGTGCACCAGAGGAACTAGCAGCCATGCAAACACCCTTAACGTCCTTGCACATCCTATCCAAGCATCTCTCCCATTCTGGGCACAGTCGAGTGCTGCTGGCACATCTCCTCCCTGCTTCCTCCTGCACTAGCAGCCTCCTGGTGCCTCATTGTGTCACCCTGAGTTATGTCAAGAGGAAAAGGATTTATTCTGAAAGCCAGCTGCAAAAAAGTCATTATTATGGCTCCTGGGAGATCAGAGACCTTGGAAATCTGCTTTTTTTTTTCCCCCTCCCAGGAAAGAGATGGACAACAGAGCCTTGAACACCAGTAGCTCCCACGCATCCCTCCTATTCCTGTTACACATCCACACATTACTGTTAGGTTCTTTTCCCCCACAGAACTACTTTGAAGCTGCAGCTAAGATGAGGATCTTGTAAATCCAGCTATTGTTCAAGCACAATGTAAAGGCAAACTCTGTGGCAAAAAGCTGACCCATATTTGACGCAGTTTATATTTGTTCCGATCTTCCCCTTACATGCAACAAAACTGGGGAGAGCCGTAGGAGAACTGAGTCTGAAAACTGAAGTCTTGATTGCAGGCGCCAGGGAATTAGGGACTACCATGGTTTTTCTCTTCCTGAAATTTCATCCCTCTCAGTAGGGAAGACTTCCCGAGACTCCTGGAGGATTTCCCCAGTTCTGCAGACACCTGCAGATAGCCTGGGCACTTCCAGCGAGACGGCAGCTACGTCTTCCCCACTCATTGGAAAGTCTCACCTTCTTGGGTCAGGCCACCGTCCCTGTGAGACCGCCTTCAGCAGCCTCTTCCCCACCTCCTGCCCCCCACTCACATGCTGAAGACTCACCCGTTGCTTTTCTTGGCTGCTGAGAGGACGTAAGCACGTTCTCTGCTGGCCGTGCGTCTCAGGACACTGTTGGCCGCCTCCGTCCTGGAAGAGAGGGAAGGGGTCACATTCTGCTCATGCCGTTAGCGGCTGCTGGGTGCAGAGGCAGTAAGTGAACAACCCAGTGGAGGCTCATGCTAACCCTGACAGAGCTCCGACGCTCTGGGGAGCAGAAATCCAGCCAGAGCTAAGAGGAGTAACAATCACTTATCTTTTTCTTTAGTATCATTCATGCAGGGCCACAGCACTTACACATGGATGTAAAGCATCAGGCAAAAAAACCCCAAAAAACCAAACAACCACCTTACTCCTCCAGGAGGGCAGAGGGGGTTCCCCAAGACTTGGACAGTTGCAATATTGCATACTGCAGGACAAAAAAAGGGGACACAGGCTTTGTGGCTGACATGCTACGTGTCTATACAGATGTCGGTACCACCACACGTACCAAGGGAGAAGTGCAGAACTCTGAAAGGGCCTTTATTGGTTCATCCCCCCAGCAGGCAAATTACCAAGCTTGCATTTGTAAAAGTCTGGTATCTGAGGAAAATGATCCGAGGGCTGGAGCACCTCTCCTATGAGGACAGGCTGAGAGAGTTGGGCTTGTTCAGTCTGGAGAAAAGAAGGCTACGGGGAGACCTGATTGCGGCCTTCCAGTACCTAAAGGGGGCCTATAGGAAAGATGGGGAACGTCTTTTTAGTAGGGCCAGCTGTGTTAGGACAAGGGGAAATGGTTTTAAACTAGAACAGGGTAGGTTCAGGCTAGAGGTAAGGAAGAAATTTTTTACAATGAGAGTGGTAAAACACTGGAACAGGTTGCCCAGAGAGGTAGTGGAGGCCCCATCCCTGGGAACATTCAAGGCCAGGTTGGATGGGGCTCTGAGCAACCTGATCTAGTTAGCAGTGTCCCTGCTCACTGCAGGGGGGTTGGACTAGATGACCACTAGTGGTCCCTTCCAACCCTAAACATTCTATGATTCTATGATTCTATTCTATGAAAAGTATCTTCAGAAACTGGACTGAAAGCAAGAAGAACGCTGGCTGCATCAGACGCAGCTCTACCACACAGACTAAGCAGATTCTACTCCCGGTTTGAGAACAGGAGACCCGCCTGGATCCGGACTTAGATGCAAGTCCCCAAGTGGTCCAGACTCCGAGGTGCACACGTAGGCTGTGGGAGGTGGGCTCCTCCCTTTACTGCCAGGCTATTTGCGCGTCTCTATCTTTCCACATAGACACTACGCAGCTGATGGATTCCACAAGCCATTTCCAGCTGCCAAATTAATTGGGGTATGCTGTCAGGTTGAATCATGTCAGGCTTTTAATTATATTTTGTTGGGAGCGCAGTCGCCTGTGGGCATAGATGCGTCCTGTGTAGAAATATCTGCTTATTATTATTTTATTGCAATCAGCCCTAATGGCTCAGCTGTAATCATCATCGAACCAACCCTCCCAGGAACGAACAGTTAAACTGAACTAAGTCCACTTGTCACTGCCCCTGCAAGAAAAAGGGGGTTACCTGGAGGGCATACCTCTTTTTATGTTCATCTGGGGTAAAAGGCACATCCTCCTCATCCACGTCCACTGATTTTTGCTTGACATTATACGGAGCTCTGAAACAGAAAGGGAAGGGGAAAGCCAGGGTTATGGAACTGCCTGTGCAGGCTGTTGCAGAGGCAGCACAAGAAAAACCCAAGGGCACACGGAAAATGGGTTCAGACCCTAGAAGTGCTGCACACGAGTGTGGAAGACGCTTGTATTTTTCATGCACATTGGGGTACGCATGTCCCCATGGGATTTTGTTTTCTTAGGATAGGGGTTAAGCCTAGAGGATGGTTCATGATAAATGCTTCAGCTGCATTTCGGATTAGAGCCGCAGTCTTTGACAGCAAAAGCTGCGTAGGAAATGTCAGCAGTGCTGTTCTGCCACAAGCCCCCTCCTTTCTCCTGGTTTCCGAAAGGCCAGCAACGCTGCAAACCAAGTCCCCAGGCTGCATCCTCCAGTTTCTGCCTTAATGATAGCAACTGATAAAATTAACTCCATACAAGGGCCATTCCCAGTTCAAGGAACGCCTTGTGCCCCACACAGGCCTGGAGGTAGCACGGGGATCTGCTTTAGTTTCTAGTGAAAGCCCCGCAGCGCTCAGCTGATGAAGCCGTGCCTGGCCAGGCATCCACATGCAGGTGGCTTCATCACTGAGGCTCGGGTGCTGCTAAGCCTGTGCACAGACAGAAAGTGCTGCTCCCCTTCCCACACTCACAGTTTCTTGTAATCCTCAGTAGTCATCCTGGAGCCAGAGGAAGGGCGGCGCAGGCTGTGTCGCTTCGCGGCAGCACTGCAGATGGCACAAATCATATCCATTAGCATGACCCTCCTGAGCTCTCACCCTTTGCCACCCTCTCCCCCAGGTGAGCTCATGCTCCACGTGATGGGGGGAAAACAGGGGGATCCCACAGATCCACTCTCTGATTTCAGGGAATTCTGTTTAATTGAAGGGCAGCATTTGCCTTCTTTTCACAGCCTTGGACTAGGATTTGAGGTCTACTTTGCTTCCCCAGGGCCACTGTGTGTTGTCAGAGCTGGTATGGGCATACTCTTCCGTGGGGTGGTGCTACTCCATCCCAGGACCAGCCAGGGGGAAGGAATATGACACCCTGTGGCATCATCCTGTTCCCCAGATGAATCAGAACAGGGGGAAAAATGGGGTGTCAAAGGTTTCACCTGAGGTGCAACAAAGCATCCGCTTAGATCAGAGCCATGCTTAGATCTTACTGGCTAGAATTAAATGTAAGTGCCTCTCACAAGACCTTTTTCAAAAGAAAAAAAAGAAAAAAAAAACCAACCCACATTAAAAACAGCAAAATGAAGTGTCGCAGATTTGCAAGGATTCATTGTGATTTGTCCTCCGCTCAAAACTATTTGCCAAATCAAACCCCAACCTGTGAATACTTTCACAGCCAACTGCCATCCCATGCTGTGGTGAGGAAGACACAGAGTTTGATGCCTTCTCTTTTTCCCACGTTTGCCGAACGGAGCTGTTAAATGAACAGCAATGTCTTCCAGCATTTAGTAAGGATTTAGTGGAGCTCAGTGGAAGCCCACAAGCACTGGCCACAGTAAAAGGACGACTAGAAATATATACAATATTTAAAAGCTCATTTTCATGAAGGAGAGGGAGACACACGCATACCTTTTCTGTGCTTCGTTAGAAGATGAAGAATCTGGCACGGAAGAGGTCTTATCGATGGTTCTTGTGAACACCCCTCTGGGAAGAAAAGAGACACATTACATTTTTTGCGGGACAGAGTTTGGAACTAGAATTAAGAGACCCTCAGCCACTCTTTGGCCTAACAGTGTCTGTGTGCCCCATTGGGAGGAAGGTGCTTGCTCAGGACACTGAGAATTAGAAGGTGTCAGCCTTGGGAAGGTCATCCTGAGCAAAGTCCCGTCTTCCTACTCCCTGGCTTTAGACAACACAGTAAAACCAGCTTGCACACAGGCTTGGGTATGGTATCACAGGGCTCGCCAACCAGTTTAGGGTTACGGTGGCATCAGAGTCTCTGTGGGCAACAGCCCGTGTGTCAGAGGAAGCTGATTTTCTGTTAACATCACCATCAAACTGCCTGTTAAACGATACTCAGGACTATCTCTTCACCGAGGTACTCCCTGAGCACTGTAATGTTCCTAACTAATAGGAGAACCCAAAAGACAGTAATATTTTCCATGCTTGTTGCTCCTGATCTAGTTCTCCTTCCCCCACAGCCCAAATACACGCCACTCCATACCAACCTGATGAGGTAACCGGATTGAGGCTTGGAGGCAGAAGACCTGCGCAAAAAACAGTTGTTAGTGAATTAAGAAACATGGGGAAAAAACAACAGCAGCAGCACCAGTATTAAAGGGGATCGTTCATGTGGCTATCGAGCCAAAAAAAACCCAAACATAGCTAAATGGGCCTTCCGCGACACCTCAGCTGCTGCACCAAAATTAACCTTGGAGGGATTCTTTAAAAATGAATAATCGTTAGAACAAGGTCTATAGAAGATTTTTGTAAGAAAAGTGAATTTTACAGTTAGCCAATTAAAATTAGCTGTGCTGACACGTGTTTTCTGGCTCAAAATTGAGTCCACAGATTGATGGCACAGAGCGGGGAAATTAGATGTAGCCGAGATCCTGGTTGTTTTATCACAGGAAAAGATCACCTTCGCACTAACTCCTCTGGGGGTCCACTCTCAGGGAGGGAGCGTGGCAGAGCTCCCCTGAAGGGAAAGGAAAGGGATACCATCAGGTGGGGATCCGGCCCCTCACACCAGGGCAGGAGGAAGCATCCCTCCCTCTTGGAGACATCTTCCTGAGAGCAAGGTGGGGACTGGGATGGGCCTCAAGGACCTGGCTCCCATCAAAT